GCCACCGGGCTGGCCCAAAAATTGTTATTTTTAATCAACACATAATAATTGCACATATTTATGGGGTATTTTGATACATGTATACAATGTGTAATGATCAGATCAGGGTAATTTGCATATACATCACCTCAAAAATTGGTCATTTCTTTGTGTTGGGAACATTCAAAATTGTTGTTAGAGTCACCCTGCAGTGCTATCAAACACTAGAATTTATTCCTCTTATCTAGCTGTAATTTTGTATCCATTAACTGACTCTCCCTATCCTTCCCTCAGGATAAACATAACATATATGCCATGCAAAATGTGCTGAAGCCACAGTTAATGTCACAAAACAGCTGCCTTCCTTGGTTTCTTCTTCCCTGCCTTAGATTAACGGAAAAAGTATTTCCCACCTGGTCTCTCCACACTTCCACTTTGCCCAGATGTCAAGAGAAATGGCACGAGGTGTCAGCTGCAGTGGGAAATATGCACCTCCCGAACTCCTGTGAGCTGCCTTCTTTCCTTCAGCTCAGGACGGCCCTCCAATGTACTTGTCATGTCTCCTGCTGGGGAGACGCAGGCAGCAGCCGTCCTGGAGGACCAGCGTTGCAGCGCTGCACACGCAGTCCTTAGTGTGCACTTGGTCAGCTGAGGCCACAGCAGCAGGAATGGCATGCACAGTGTCAGTCTGAGCACCAGTGTAGATCCCATGTGGCTTGAATGGGGTTTAGAAGTCACACATCCATATAGTGAGGCTGTCGTTTGAAACACGGGCTGATCTGATCCCTTGTGTGTTTAGCTCATACCCAGTTTGTACACTTATCCTGTTGGCCTCCTTTGAGAGGAGGATGTTTATGCTTCTCTTACCCTTCCCCTGCGTAGAACTTTGCAAGTCTAAGTTACAGACATGAGGAACTAATATATTAGACTCTTTCACCTTGTACTCCACTCATGTACCAGGAACACACAATAGGATCATATAGGAAAATATTTTTTTGAGGAAGGAACTAAAACCTCTTAATAAAGCTACCAGAGTCTGGCGTACCTGCCGTTTCATCTCTCTCTGTGCCCTGCCCTGCATCCTCCCGCCTCGCATCTTGTTCCACCCTCAGCACTGGGAGACCATTCCACAGGGCTGTGACCTACCTTGTGATAATTCCATCTCACCCTGAGTAGATCCAGGGCTTCTCTGACACCAAGGAGACGGAGACCTGCAGGCAAGCCTGTGGGGCCCGGGGCAGGGGTCAAACAAATTCAGGAATGAACAATCCAAGGGCAGGCCTCCACCAAGGAGGGTGGGAGCAAAGGACAAAATGTGCCTCCATGTGGACCTGGTGGCGACTCTGCGAACATTCTCTAAACTGCTCAGAAATTTCTGGGCATGGTCGAGCTCCAGTTGCCCTCAGCAGTGACCTTGATAGTACGTCCTGACTTTGGCTCTCCTGTTTCTCACTCCTCTTGGTCGCTCACTCCTGCTCCCAAATAAACCAAGAGCACCCAAGCCCTTGTCTCAGACTCAAGCTATGGCAACGCTGTTCATGTAGTTAGTCGCCAAATATTTGTTGAGTACCTATCGTATGTCAGACTTGAGCCACCCAAGATGAAAAAGATATATCGCCTTGCCCTCAGGAGTGCTCAGTCTAGTGCATACAAAATGTCACCTAGTGCAATGGACGCTAACAGATTCATGTCTGCATAGCTGTGTAGAAGGGTTTACAAGGACATGATTTCACTCTCAGTTTTAGCTGAGTTCCCATGGTAATTGGTGTCAACTACCTCTACTTTCCACAGTATGATACCAGATCACCTATGCAACATCTCCAGACCATCAGCTAACCTCTTGTTTCCTGTTTCTGGAAAGGTGGAGAGAGGAGAGTTTGGAGAGGTCATAGATAATACAAAAGCTTTTTTTTTTTTTTTTTGACTGATGCTTTCATGAGGCCAAAGATGTCCTGAGTCATGCTTTTATGACTTCTGCCCATGGGAGAAGAATAACAGTCCCTTTTCCCTCACTTCACATGTCAGTGAGGTGGTGCTCAGTCTGCAAGAACCAAGGATATGTCAGCCTCTCCAAGTGTCTCAATGCGGTCCCTGCCTATCTGTCCGTTTCACGTCCTACCAGTCTCCTCCTCTTTCATGAATCTCCACGACCCTCCCTTCCTGCTACCCTTCAAACACGTCAAGATCACTTCACAGTTGCTCTTCCCTCTGCTTGGAAGCAACTTTCTAGACTCACAAGCCTGGCTCCTCATTATTATGATTCAGCTCAAATATCACCTCCTTGGAGAGGCTGGCCTTCCCTGAGCATCTTGGTTAAGGTGCCTCCCAGCTCTTGGTCATTGTGTTGCCGTTTTAAAAACCTTTCTTGGTGTGTACACACACACACACACACACACACACACAGAGCACACGTTTACAGTTCAATGAATATTCCATATTGGCAGAGGGTTGCTAGAGCTCCACCCTGACCCCCGTAATTTTGCCAGTGTCTGTATCACACTGATTTAATTCTTCAAAGCATTACACGTGCACTGCACATGTGGCCATTGAGCACCTGAAATGTGGCTAGTGCCACAAGTTGAAATAATAATGTTTTGGACATACTGAGCTAAAGAAATATTTTATGACAACTTTACCGATTTCTTTATACATTTTTGACGTGGTTATTATTTAGGAAATGTTGAATCGTACATGTGGCTCTCACATGCTTCTACAGGGCAGCGCTGCCCTAGACCCTCTGCAAGTTGTCTTCACGTTTGTCATATCTTTGCCACCAGACCTTAAGCTCCCTTTGGAAAAGGGCTGCTTGGTTCAAGGCTGTATCTCCATCTCCTGGCACATAACTGCCGCTCAAACAAGTGGTCTGTGAGTGAACTGGCGAACATGCAATGGGAACGGTGAAGCTGGCTGGAAATGGTCCCAGCGGCGTCTCCCACCTGGGGACCCGGGACGCAGTCACCTTAGCGGCAGGTGTGGCCAGTGGTGCCTGGAGACGGGAGGGGTCTCCCGCTCCCGCCCGCCTCTCCAGCTCAGTGACGCCAGGCCGCGTTTCCAGGCAACGGAAAGCAACACAGAGGCGGGTCGAACGCGGGCGCCGGGCAGAACGCAGCCGGCGGACTCGGACTGAGCCCCTGGGCGGGCGGGACGGACCATGGCCGCAGTGGGGACGCTGGACGGGAGCGACGACGTGGAGGACGAGGAGGAGATCACCGCCGCCGCGCTGCGCGCTAAGCCGCGGCCGCTGCCCATCTGGGCGCTGTCTGCCTTCAGCCACGTCCCG